AACTTCGTTAGTAAATATAAAAGTAATCGTGTGTGTGTGTATGTCACAGTCGCTGTGTGTTGTGTGTGTAGCTACATTTATAAATGTTACTGTTCTCACAAAAAAACTACTTTGAGGGGAATAAAAGCCTTTTTCTGTTCTCTTGAGGCATAAGCAGCCACCTAATATCACTTGCTGCACAGGGCAAACCAAATAAATATAAAATTTTATTTGAAGCTTTCGTGACTGCAGGAATTACTCTTTGGTTCTTTCGGTAAAGTCACGTAAAAAGAAAATAAATTAAATAATAGAATACGACGTTTCGATTGCAACACAAGCAGTCGTCATCAGGTAGAACTAATTTGAGAGAGAAACAAAACATAGACACGGAGTCACACACAGACAGACACACAAGCAGAGAGAGACAACATAGACACACAACATAGACACACAGAGAGAGACACACAACATAGACACACAGAGACCCAATGCCTCTGTCTCTCTTTAAAATTTACCAGGCTCTCATAGGGCCATTCGATCTTCTTTCCCTCAGTCGCTTAGGGGTGGATTCATTGACATGCAAATTTCTCTGCTTCAGCAGACCCACCTCTCTCGCTCTGCCCCCCCTCTCGCTATTTAAGGCTTCGACACAGGCATTGGGTCTCTGTGTGTCTATGTTGTGTGTCTCTCTCTGTGTGTCTATGATGTGTGTCTCTCTCTGTGTGTCTATGTTGTCTCCCTCTGCTTGTGTGTCTGTCTTTGTGAGTCCGTGTCTGTGTTTTGTTTCTCTCTCAAATTTAGTTCTATCTGATGACGGTTGCTTGTGTTGCAATCGAAACGTCGTATTCTATGTATTTATTTTATTTTATTTTCACGTGACTTTACCGAAAGAACCAGAGAGCAAATAAGTATATTGAATGCTATTACGTCTTCATTCTAACATATTTACACTTGCCCCCTCAGTACGGGGATTGAGCAGTGGCGTTATGTCAATTATGCTTTATTGGTGCGCATCTGCTCATAGTTACAGGTAGGATAAGTTGATTTTTTTATTCGTTGACTTTCATTTATATACAGCTTTTGCTCGCGCAAAATGTTTGCACAAAAATGACAGAACACCATCGCCCTCGCTCTTAATTACTTATTACACACGCCTGCATTTCCCCTCTTCCTTGCTTATTTCGCAAAAGTCACGCACATAGAAAACTATTATTTCAAAACTTACTTCGTAAATATTAAAGTAATAATGTATGTGTGTACACGTCCATGTGTGCGTGTGAGTCCATATATGTGTGTGCGTCGTGTGTGTGTAAGTCGATGTATGTGTGTTTGTTAGTCAATGTGTGAGTGAGTCGGTGTATGTGTAGTGGGTTCAAGGAGAGTGGAGACGGCTTGTAGAGGCAACACGTTTATTTATAGTAACCGTAACAGCAATAGTAACGGTCCCTAACACAAAGGGGTAACGGCCCCTTTACCCGCTACCTGGGGAGGTACGGCCTCCGGGCTAGCGTGCCCTATCACTGGGACCACGGGCTCTCTCTCCTCCGGCTAAGGGTGACTTAGGGGAGGCTACACTGACCCGACCCAGCCAAGGTATGGGTCTCGATCACTGGCCCTCTCGGTCCTGGCCCTTACAAGGACGTTGGTCCCCGGGGGTTCCCAGGGTCTCACCATTGGCCCACTCAGTCCCAGCCCTTAGAAGGGCAGCAGGTCGAGGGGTTCCCAGGGTCCTAGGCTAGCTGGTCTTCAGGCTTCGGTCTTTGGACTGGCCCCGGACTCGTCCAGAGGTCTGTCTTTTATACACCTCCCCAGGTGTGTCCGCCCCTGGCCACGCCTCCCTTCCAGAGAGTTCCAGGGGGGGAGTCTCAGGGGATCCTAGAATACTCCGCAGCCCCCCCCTGCTTTGGGGCTGGGGAATCGAGCGACCCTCATGCCGGTCCAAGTTGCTGCCCCTGGTGGGCTACTGCAGGTAAGTACACCTAGCCCATTACAGCGCTACATATGTGTGTGTGAGTCGATGTGTGTGTCAGTCCATGTAAGTGTAGTGTATGTAACTGAGGCGTACACAAACCGTTCTTGGAGGCAACACATTTATTAACAACTTTACTGTACACTGGGTTCTGTTACTAAGTGTGGCTAACTCTGGTTAGGCTGCTCACTATGTGGATGTCTCTTAGCTAGCTGGATCCCCAAAAACAAACCCTTTACGCTCCCCCCTTATCCCTTGGCCCCGGCCTCGCCCCTTACTGTATCAAGGCCACATGTCCTTACCCGTCCAATCGGGCCCACTTCCGGTCACATGCCCTTAGCTCGCCCAATCGAGCACCGCTTTCAGTCACGTGCCCTAAGCTCGTCCAATCAAGCACCGCTTTCGGTCACGTGCCCTTAGTGCTACCCGCTAAAGCATCTGTCTATATAATGTATGTGTGTGAGTCGATGTCTGTGTACGTCGATGTGTGTGTAAGTCCATGTGTGTGTGAGTCTGTGTGTGAGTCAACAACCGCCATTCGCCACTAAGTGACGTCACCGCCACTTAGTGGCGAATGGCGGTTGTTGTTGTGTTGTAAGTCGATATGTCTGTGTGTAAGTCGATGTGTGTGTGGCTCTGTGCGTGTGTGAGTCGATGTGTGTGTGTGAGTCTGTGTGAGTCTGCGTGTCAGTCAATGTGTGTTTGTGAACGTCGATGTGTGCGAGTCCATATGTGTGTTTGTTAGTTGATGTGTGTGTAAGTCAATATGTGTGTGTGTGTAAGTCGATGTGTGTGTTTGAATCCATGTGTGTGTGTGTGTGTTTGAGTCGATGTGTTTGTGCGTGTGGGTCGATGTCTGTATGTGCGTCTTTTTCGCCCGGGCAACGCCGGGTACTTCCCGGTAGTTAAACACATAAACAACAGCAGTATTTTTTTATTTAAAGCTTTCGTGATTGCAGGGATTCATATAACAGCAGAATTGTTAGCTGAAATCACAATTACGTTGTTAATTTAACACGTACCTTATTTCTCTTTGAATCCACGTGTTGGGATGCATGTTAAGTATTTTTTCTCTTGAGCTTTAGCCACGTACTACTGATTACCTAATTTCAGATAGCTCACTAATGGAACTGTGTCCAGATCATCTTTCAGGGTCTGTGAGGTTCTCGTAGAATCCAGTCTGTTTAATCCCAGGATAGATCATAGACAGATCAGCCTGAATGTTTCAAGGTTGATGGGTCCACATTTTGCATGCATGGAAAGGGCCAAAAAGGTTGTGAGCGGTGTATGAAGTGACGAGCCAGGCCTCATTACTCAGTGGTTGAACATTGTTGTATATGTTGGGTATGAATATTTGATGAAAATAATACAAATTAAATTAAATTTGGAAAAATGCGTGATTTCGATTTAAAGCTTTCATGACTGCAGGGATTCATCTTCTGGGTTCTTTCGGTAAAGTCACGTAGAATGGGAATAAAATAATAATAAAAACAATAAAATTATCACGACGTTTTGGCACAACACAAGTAGCCTTCCTCAGGTGAAGAAACAGGACTGTCCGGAAGACAGCACTTGAATGAACACTACCAAGCATGGACAGCATCTTTTAAGCTGTGTGGGAGGAACAGAGCGCCTTGACAAAGGAGTTAACATATAAATTAGCATGTGATTAGCACCACGAAGAGCGACGAGCTATGTTCAGACGGATGAGGGGAGGGGGGAGAGGAGTTTACATATAAATTAGCATGTATCTGGGGGACTAGCATAATGTTGGTGTGAGGGATTAGCAGCAGTTTACTTATCAACAGTAAATTAGCATGTAACTGGGGATTAGCATGATGTTAGTATGAGGGATTAACACCACGGAGAACGACGAGCTTTGTTCAGACGGATGAGTCCATCTATGTTAGGAACGGAGGAGGGGGGGAAGAGGAGGAAGCAGCCACGGTGCGCTGCTCTGTCCTGTGTTGCGTTATAACTATGCTATAAACTGGACTACTATACAATACAATATTATACCTTCCAATCTAAACTACATTGTATAATATCGTATCCATAGACAAATCCCACCCTTGAATTATACAATGCGTTACTATACACTACCCTATACTTTAGACTATACAATATTAGACTTGTAGTATTACACTATGTATTATTCTATTAAACCTACTGTATACCACACTGCTGTATATCCACTATATGTTAAACATTACACTGTTATACTATTTATTATTATACAAATGCTATAAACTATACTATTGACCGTCGTGTGATAGGTACTAACAGGCAGTGCCAGCGAATGGACTGCGGTCTAAAAGTCACCGTAAAATACAATCAATCAAGAACCAAAATGGTTTATAACGTCTTTCCTATGGTTACTAAGCCAGAATCCATCTTCTCGGTTGAAATTGTCTCTGTTTGAATATGTGAATAGCCTCATGAACGAATCTCTCATGGTAGCCGGATGGCTTGCAGAGAACCTCCGTCTTGGAGAAGTCACTGTCATGTTGGCCCACTGAATTATAACAGTGATCTGCCACGGCTGAGGTGTTCGTCCCACCATGTTTCAAGTCTGCTTTATGTTCACGGATGCTGTCCGAGATATGTTGTTTGGCTTCTCCAATGTAGCTGCCACCACAGAGGCAACTTAGTTTGTAGACGCCCGGGTACTGTATGTCTGGAACCACATCTTTTACAGACGGAAGCAGATCACGCCTGGTATGCAGGAGGTCGTGGGTTTGATCCCGACCCGAGCACCGGTATATTTGGATTTTGCATGTTTTCCCTGTGGTCGCATGGATTTTTTCCCACGTTTTCCAGTTTTTCCCCTCCACATTTAGAAACGTGCATTTAGAGTAGTTAGCTGCTATACATTTTGACACGATAAGCCACTTCGTTGAGCTATCATTTATGAAAAAGAGCTATGTAGGTTAGTGAGCCTTACCTGGTAATATAAAAAATAGTTTAGTTTAATTAGCACTGTGTTGATCTCTCTTGTGAATGCCGTTTTGATGGGCGGGTGGCGGTGGGCGGCGGCGCGTGTGCTCAACAGGGCCGTGGCACAGACAGACGGGAGGTGGAAGCCGGCGCTGTCGGAGGAGAACCCCCTGAGGGCCGTCGACTTCCACGTGCCCTTCCCAGGGGAGGAGGCTGTGACCGAGGGTAAATGCACCACCGCTGCATGCTAAGCTGACCCAAAGGGAAGGTCTTCGCCCGCGACCTTATTTCATCCCAAGATGACCTAGGAGTAGTGGCCCCTTGGAGAGATCCATAATCGGAATCTTGTTTATGATTATATATTTAGACTAGGATAGGAATCTGATGAGCTATAAAGCTCTTTTTCACAGGTGTCCAGTCCGGGCGGGTCAGCAAGTTAGAACCGCAAACAATACAAAAAAACAATAGAAGTGCAAAGTAGAGAAAAGGTAAAGCTAGTCACGGTAAATAAATACTTAAAAATAAAGTTTATAAGTATAAATTGTCTGTAAATTCCTTCCGATTTGTCAACAACAAATGCAACCTTGGGGCAAGACAGCAAAAGATCAACAACAACAACAGTTCCAGACCACTCCAAGACAACACACAGTCCCTCAATTAAATTGCACATTAAAATGTAACTATCAATACAATGTGAAGACCTCATTTCAGGCTGCACAACACCAGTAAATATTCTGAATGCCTCCCCAGGTTCACTTTGTCTAATATGATCGCTTCAACACCCCCACATGTGCCGTGCCAGCCTTAATATATGCTCGCTTAACAGCATTCGCTCCTTGATTCTGTCCAGTTTTCTCCCATAGCAAAAAACATAAAGGGTAACTGGCATTAGCCAAACATCCCAATGCTGAAATATTACCTGCACATTACTCAATTGGAATCGCACACGGCAGCAACATTGCCCCGACCTGAGAGTCTTGAGAGTTGGTGAGGCTTTCCTGGGTTAACAAGTGTAAGTATATAAAAAAACTTGCCTTTAGAGTCCAGAACTTGGGCTTCTCCGGACCTCAAGAAGCACCCTGCGTAATCAACAGTAATGCCATTGAAGCAGTGGAGGAATTTATCTAACTGGGATCTATACAGACCACTGACGAACGATGTAGACCTGATGTCATGCCCTGAATCGGCCAGTCCTCAGGAATGATTAATGGTCTGAACCGCATTTGGTCCCAGAGTCTACCAGTGTTGTTGTATAGTGCGGAGGCCTGGCCATTGCTTCAGGCTGTTTTGGATCGGCTGCAGTCCTTCCACATGCAATGCCAATGACCCCTTCTTGGTATCCGATGGTTCGGCGATCGTCAGAAATTTCACCATTGCATCTGAAACCGGTCTCTTAGCGATCGAGAGCTTGTTTGAGGGCGATGGCTGTCACTTTGTCGACACGTCACCCCGTCTTGATGCGCAGACTCCAGCAAATTGCACTCACTTTGGTTTGGCGGTCGACGTTCAAAGCGGACTGCGACCCTCAAAGGAATGGCTCTGCTCCTGTGGTCACCCCCGTGATCCGTGGATCAAACAAATCACTCGACAACGGTATGACAGCAAGAGCAGTTCATCCGAATGCTGTCGCAAGAGGTCACACGTTTGGCACAATGGATCTTTGTTGACTATGCGTGATATATGAATGAGTGTCCATAATGCGTCGCGGTTCTGTGTGGGTGCAGTGTACGACCTTCCAGAGCGGCCCAATGACGCCGCCTCCTTCTACAGCCACATGAGCCGTGTATTGCTGTCTCTCGTGGGGCGCGCGGTCCAGCCCAGCTCGCCGGGAGCGGCTGCAGACACCGACACGGTTGACACGGGTTACGCCGACAGCCTGGAGGACACGGCACAAGCAGAGGTGCCTGGAGATCTCGCGGACAATCGCCCGGTCACTCGCTCGGTCACTCCGCTCGGTTACTCTGTTCAGTCACTCCTCTCGGTCACTTACTCAGTCACTCACTCGGTCACTCGCTCGGTCACTCGCTCAGTCAATCCGCTCGGTCACTCCGCTCGGTCACTCCGCTCGGTCACGTCGGTAGGTCACTCCTCTCGGTCGCTTACTCAGTCACTCCCTCAGCCACTCACTCAGTCAATCAGCTCGGTTACTCTGCTCGGTCACTCCGCTCAGTCACTCCACTCGGTCACTCCACTCGGTCATGTCGGTAGGTCACTCCGTTCGGTCACTTACTCAGTCACTCACTCAGCCACTCACTCGGTCACTCCGCTCGGTCGCTTACTCAGTCACTCACTCAGCCAGCCACTCGGTCACTCCGGTTGGTCACTCACTCAGTTAATCCGCTCGGTTACTCCGCTCGGTCACTCCACTCGGTCACTCCACTCAGTCACTCGCTCGATCAAACCGGTCGGTCACTCACTCGGTCACTCTGCTCGGTCACTTCCTCAGTCACTCGCTCGGTCAATCCGGTCGGACACTCACTCAGTCACTCTGCTCGGTCACTTCGCTGTGTCGCTTACTCAGTCCCTCGCTCGGTCACTCACTCAGTCAATCCACTCGGTCACTCCACTCGGTCACTTACTCAGTCACTCGCTCGGTCATTCCGGTCGGTTACTCCGCTCGGTCGCTTACTCAGTCACTCGCTCGGTCACTCGCTCGGTCACTCGCTGGGTCACTCACTCGGTCACTCGCTCGGTCAATCCGGTCGGTTACTCCGCTCGGTCGCTTACTCAGTCACTCACTCGGTCACTCGCTCGGTCACTCGCTGGGTCACTTACTCAGTCACTCGCTCGGTCAATCCGGTCGGTTACTCCGCTCGGTCGCTTACTCAGTCACTCGCTGGGTCACTCGCTGGGTCACTCGCTCGATCACTCGCTCGGTCACTCGCTCGGTCACTCACTCGGTCACTCTCTTGTTCACTTTGCTCAGTCGCTCCGCTCGGTTACTCGCTCGGTCACTCCACCTGGTCACTCCACTCAGTCACTACGCTCAGGCATTCGATCGTAAAGCTTGCTTACTCGCGACTTGCCCAGGTGATCAACATATTCACTTGGTCAGCTTTTCCCTCAACTAATCATTCACTCATTCTCCCATGCACACTTATTCCCTCACTTCCTTTTGCGCTAATTTAATAATTCACTCACTCATTCTCTTGCACGCACGCTTGCGTTCTCACACATCGGCCTGCCGGACAATGTTGTGCCTGTAGGATAGACAGCAGCAAGTGACAAACTCAACACAGTTGTCAATAACACTGGGTCCTTAAAAGGAAGAGTGTATAGTAGGTGATGTTTCGGGTCAAGCGCCCTTCATCGTCTCAGTGAGAGGGTGGACTGATAATATAATTGATGCTGAATGAACTCTGTGCACCTGCAGACTCACCTGAGGGATGACAGTGGCCAGCGGCGCACCACCAGCAGGTACGCGTTGGATTGCACGTTTCCCCAATGTTAATTTTCGAGGGAAAACTGGGTTGGTTCAGGTTGCTCATCGGGGTGCTTAAGATGGCTGCGTAATAGCCCTAAATCAGCACGGCTGCACAGTTGAGATCCTAGGTTCAAATCTTGGTTTTGGTCACCCAAGATTAAACCAGGTTCCCCGCTGTTTTCGATCTCTCCATGCCTAAGAACCAAGTTTAATGTTGAGAGGTGGGAGGGTTGCAGTACGGGGCGGTACAGACCTGGATTAAAACCCAGGTTCTCAGCTGAGACAGCTGGGTGTCTCTGACACGGTATCAGCTTCCTGAGCCACCTTGTCACCCCCAATTCGTCTCTTGGCCAGAGCAGAATTTGATATCGTTGGGTGCTGGCAAATATTTAGGGATACCAGTTTCTGTATGTCGATAATTAAGTGGTTATATAATAATATATTGACTAATTATTATTATTATTCGTTGGGTCTTTCGGTAAGATCACGTTGATAGGTTCAAAGAAAATAACAAAAAACTACGACGTTTCGATCGCAACACAAGCGGGCGTCATCAGGAAAAGGGGGGTTAGCTTCTAAAGACGACTGCTTATAAAGGTTTGAAATGGGCGTAGCCCAAATGTCAGCAGCCAATGTTAATGTAAGTGGTGGGCAGCGACCGCGGCAGTGGTGGGCTTTCCACCAATCAAAGGGCTGCCAGGTAAAAATTAGCATGTTAATGTAAGATCGCCGAGCATCCTCCACGGCGAGCGCGCCGAGGTGGCTATGTTAATGTGAGAGATTAGCATGTTCATGTATTTTTTTGTTATTTTCTTTGAACCTATCTATGTGACCTTACCGAAAGATCCAAAGAATATTAATTCCTGCAGTCACGAAAGCTTTAAATCAAGATGTATTTAGTAAATAAAATACATTATTTGATGCGTAAATAACGACACATTCATCACTTACACTGACGTAAAGGAAAATTAAAAAATTTAATTGGCTGCTTTAGGCAAGGACCCTTCTTCATCTATGTGATGTGAACAAGGGTCACTGCCTGAAACGTTGTCTATAAGATTTTCTATTTTAAGGAGGTGTTATCGATGGATGTGAGTTTTTTTGTTACTGAGTAGATTGCATAATGAACTACTCTTTGCACTTGGTACAACTCTGTTTTTCTACCTCATGCAGTACCAACAAGTAAAACATTTGGTCTGGGTCCATGGAGCACGACCGTAGAACAGAGTTTAACTTTAAGCCCGCCGGTGACTGGAATGTACAGGGAAGGCGAGGCCCAGCAGCGCCAGCGGGCGATAAGGCAGCATGGCAGCACCTCGCTGGATGTGCTGCCCGTGCGGGGACCCCAGAGCGAGGGGGCGGCCACGGGCGTGGAGGCGAGCGCGTGGAGCGCCGAGCCCACACTGCTGCTCCTGCCGGCGCCCACCATCGGTACGAATGGACACGGTGCCGCCTCGCTCATTCGCTACATACATCAGCTTGCGCTGACGGCTCTCTCACTCACACAGCAGCTCGCGCTGGCGGAATCGACAACGCTGGTTGTCGTGATGCCTTGAGCTTGACTCGTAGGAATCTTGCCAAGAGGTGCAGTCGTGGTGATGATGTATGCAATTCTGAGAGAGAGGTTGATTGTCGACGTTTCGGCCTCTGAATCGGTGGCAGTAATTTGCATGCTAAGCGATCATTGATGGATTGAGGAGAGCACACCTAACGGGTGGTCTTTGTCTGCGGAAGGTCACTCCGCAGGACGCGTGACGCTGAGGAACCACACATCACGAGCTCTGCCGTTTGAACTGTCCTGGCCTGCGCACTGCCTGACCGTCACTCCCCATCAGGGTGTGCTCGACCCACAGTGAGTGATGGCCAGACCTGTTCGTGGCCGTGTGTATGCGAGAGTGAGAGTGTGAGTACTTGGGACAGAGATCCTTCCAGAGTCATGAAAACAGTTCCATCAATTCGATAGTGAAAATAAATTTTTTGTGCTCATGATACATACATGTGATACGTACGTTAAGTTTATATTAATTTGTTACACGGTTGATCCCGTTTAGCCAGTTGCCCGGCTATATTACAAGGGAGATCCGTGGTGCACAAGCTTTGCAAATCATATGCAATGTTACCTTTATACGAGACGTGCCAAACTAGAGGTGATAAAATCGGTTCTATAATCATGACTTGTGGCAGTTCATCGAATAAGCTGAATCGGTACAAGTCTCCTAGCCACTGGCCAACTGCAACATCAATACAATTGGTGAAGCTTGGAGAGCTGAATGTAGTTCAAAATAACTCACAAACACCTTGTCATCATCAGTGGCAGGTGTGATGATGACCGTTTGTGTTATGGTCGAAACGTCGTGATAATTTTTATTGTTTTATATATATATTTTATTATTTTATTGTTTCCCTTCAACGTGACTTTACCGAAAGAGCTAAGAATATTAATTACTGCAGTCACGAAAGCTTTAAATAAAAAGATACATTTGATTGCAGGCCATTCTAAATAGCAGTGGCAGCTAGGGGTGTACAACAACTCTAGAGCCGTTTTGAGTGAAGATCTCACAGGTAGTGATCCAAGTTGCAGTCTATTGGCGATAGCATTCCAGACCCTGGGGACATTAATAGAAAAGACCCTTCCTCCAGTATTTGTATGGCAATAAGGAATGTGAAGCTGATAAATGAGCGAAGACCTTAGGTCACATTTGTTCTTCGAAACAGTGAGGAGATCCAGCAGGTAGTCTGCTGATTTTTGTAAGTACCTCGTGAATAAATAAGATCTGATGCACAAGCCGTCGATCATTAAGAGAAGTTAAGTTTGACCCAATGTAGAGATCACAGTGGTGGGTCCTATATGGGCAGTTCAATTATCGCTTTATTTTGGTGATTTTGAAAAGTTTTTGGTTTAGCCATGTTTGTTTGTTGTAGTACAGAGTTAGCCTGATAACTTTAATCTAAATTATCTTATGGTTGTTATTGTTTGACTTGCATCCCATTGGGATTTTTGCACACAGCGTTGATATACAGTTTTTTTCTGGAAGACTTTGCTGTTTTTTCCTGTATTTTTCTGTTGCGTGTAGTCACTTTAAGATGTTTCTTGTTCATGTTTTTGTTTGTTGCAGTTGCACCCAAGTCAAGAGCCGCATGGCTCACAGGGTTATACCTAATAACTGAAAACTGAAGCTCATGGTCCACCCTGAACTGCATCCACTGCACAAACCATGGCAAATTCGGATACCTGATGCACAAATGGAAGATTAAAAATATCTCCAGTAGTGTTCGACTGTGGTCATCCAGAACAGACAGTGTAATGTATAACGATGCAATTTCCAATCCACAAATACGAAAGAGACATCACAGCGATACACTCCGCTACTCCTGACGCTGTTGTCTCGCTTGACCACCTGAATGTGAAATTGTAGTTGTTGCTCTGCATCTACATCAACAATAGGAAAGAAGAAGTGCAGTTGGTGTCTAAACATGGCCTTTGCTTCCCTTAGGTTAACTCGGCCTAAAGTTAGTTCCTGTTGCAGTGTGGTCATGAACATTAGTACGAGATAACAAGGGCAACTGTTTTGATTTAAAGCTTTCGTGACTGCAGTAATTCATATTCTTAGTTTTTTCGGTAAAGTCACGTTGAAGAGAAACAACAAAATAACAAAATATATATAAAACAATGAAAAATTCTCACGACGTTTCGACCATAACTCAAACGGTCATCATCAGGTGTGTCGGTTTGCATAAATTTATTTTGAAAACGTCATATTTATTTATATATATAAAAATAACGTTTGCGTCACGCGCAACGATTGGCTGTTTGCCAGGACTAGTCCATCTATTTTTTGAAAAGAGGAGGGGGGAGACGAAATTTGTTTTTATGTATGCTGTCTGAAAGGCACTGTAAGCGTGAACAATCAATCAAGAACTGAAATGATTTATCAAATCTTTCCAATGATTGCTAAGATAGAATCCATCTTCTCGGTTGAAATTGTCTCTGTGTTTGTATATGTGGATAGCCTCATGAACGAATCTCTCATGGAAGCCAGATGGCTTACAAAGAACCTCCATCTTGGAAAGTCAATGGCATGTGAGCCTACTGAATTAGAACAATGATCTGCTACGGCCGAGGTGTTGGTCCTACCGTGTTTAAGGTCTGCTTTATGTTCACGAATGCGGTCCGAGATATGGCGTTTGGTTTCTCCAATGTAACTACTACCACAGAGGCAACTTAGTTTGTAGACACCAGGGTATTGTATGTCCGGAATCACATCTTTTACAGACGGAACCAGATCACGGATTTTATGCAATGTGTTGAAACGGACCTGGATCTTGTGTTTATTCAAGATTTTGGAGATCTTTTTTGTGATCCCAGCAATGTAGGGTAAAGTGATGGTTTTGAAAGGCTCCTCAAGAGGGTTCTTCTTCATGGTTTGAGTGATAGCTTTGCGGATTGTATAGTCGGAGTAACCATTAGCCCTAAGAGCCTGGTGTACGTGCTTGAGTTCACTGCTTATGTGTTCCTGGTCGGATATGCATTGGGCTCTATGATACAGAGTCTTGATGAGAGAATTCTTCTGTGATGGATGGTGGTGGGAATCCGGTTTCAGATAAGCATCCGTATGGGTAGCTTTCCTGTAGACAGAGTGGCTCATTGAACCATCAGGTCTCTTTTTAATTAGGACATCCAAAAAAGGTATCTTGCCATCTATTTCGACTTCCATGGTAAATCTGATGGCTGGGTGTATGGAATTGATGTGGTCGAAGAATTGGTCTAGAGCAGGCCGGCCATGTGGCCAGATGACAAAAGTGTCATCCACGTACCTCTTCCACAAGGTTGGGCGTAGAGTGGCAGTCTGGATGGCGTCAGTCTCAAATTTCTCCATGAAAATGTTAGCTATAACTGGAGAAAGGGGGGAGCCCATTGGGGTGCCCTCAGTTTGTTTGTAGAAAGTTCCATTCCAAGTGAAGTATGTATTGGTTAAACAGTGTCTCACCAGGGGGGGTACCTCAGCGTTTAGTCCTTGATGAACCAAGTCTTCAATGATTGCAATGGTGTCAGGTACAGGAACCTTGGTGAACAAGGAAACTACATCAAAACTGACAAGCAGGTCGTCTGGGGACAGGGAAATACCCTTGATTGTTGATACCAGGTGAGTAGAATTTTGTACCACAGAGGTGGTCTTTCCAGTGAAAGGACGCAGGATTTCAGACAAAAAACGAGCTAGTTTGTAGGTGGGGGAGCTGATAGTAGAGACTATGGGACGAAGAGGTGTATCAACTTTATGTATTTTTGGTAAGCCGTATAATCTTGGTGGCCTGGCAGCAGAAGGTTTCAACGAAAACCGTTTAGATTGATCAATTAATGCGGTTGAATCAGAAATTATTTTGTTGGTTTGTGTGACGAGGCTGTTGGTGGGATCTCTTTTTATTTTTGTATAACTACCATCGTCGAGTAATTCTTTAATTTTGTTGTTGTATTCTATTTTATCCATAATAACAGTGGCATTGCCTTTGTCAGCTGAGAGAACTACAATATCATTCCTCTTTTTTAATTTATATAATTCAAAACGCTCATCTTTGCTGAGGTTGCTAGCTGGCATCTTAGCGTTTTTGAGGGTTGCAGCGATTTCAGATCTTGCTACGTCTGCAGCGATGTGACCCAGGCCCCTGAGAGCAACGTCTACTTGGGCAATTATATCATTAACTGGTATGTGTTTAGGTGTGACTGCAAAGTTTAGACCTTTAGCTAAAACGGATTCCTGTACCTGACACCATTGCAATCATTGAAGACTTGGTTCATCAAGGACTAAACGCTGAGGTACCCCCCCTGGTGAGACACTGTTTAACCAATACATACTTCACTTGGAATGGAACTTTCTACAAACAAACTGAGGGCACCCCAATGGGCTCCCCCCTTTCTCCAGTTATAGCTAACATTTTCATGGAGAAATTTGAGACTGACGCCATCCAGACTGCCACTCTACGCCCAACCTTGTGGAAGAGGTACGTGGATGACACTTTTGTCATCTGGCCACATGGCCGGCCTGCTCTAGACCAATTCTTCGACCACATCAATTCCATACACCCAGCCATCAGATTTACCATGGAAGTCGAAATAGATGGCAAGATACCTTTTTTGGATGTCCTAATTAAAAAGAGACCTGATGGTTCAATGAGCCACTCTGTCTACAGGAAAGCTACCCATACGGATGCTTATCTGAAACCGGATTCCCACCACCATCCATCACAGAAGAATTCTCTCATCAAGACTCTGTATCATAGAGCCCAATGCATATCCGACCAGGAACACATAAGCAGTGAACTCAAGCACGTACACCAGGCTCTTAGGGCTAATGGTTACTCCGACTATACAATCCGCAAAGCTATCACTCAAACCATGAAGAAGAACCCTCTTGAGGAGCCTTTCAAAACCATCACTTTACCCTACATTGCTGGGATCACAAAAAAGATCTCCAAAATCTTGAATAAACACAAGATCCAGGTCCGTTTCAACACATTGCATAAAATCCGTGATCTGGTTCCGTCTGTAAAAGATGTGATTCCGGACATACAATACCCTGGTGTCTACAAACTAAGTTGCCTCTGTGGTAGTAGTTACATTGGAGAAACCAAACGCCATATCTCGGACCGCATTCGTGAACATAAAGCAGACCTTAAACACGGTAGGACCAACACCTCGGCCGTAGCAGATCATTGTTCTAATTCAGTAGGCTCACATGCCATTGACTTTTCCAAGATGGAGGTTCTTTGTAAGCCATCTGGCTTCCATGAGAGATTCGTTCATGAGGCTATCCACATATACAAACACAGAGACAATTTCAACCGAGAAGATGGATTCTATCTTAGCAATCATTGGAAAGATTTGATAAATCATTTCAGTTCTTGATTGATTGTTCACGCTTACAGTGCCTTTCAGACAGCATACATAAAAACAAATTTCGTCTCCCCCCTCCTCTTTTCAAAAAATAGATGGACTAGTCCTGGCAAACAGCCAATCGTTGCGCGTGACGCAAACGTTATTTTTATATATATAAATAAATATGACGTTTTCAAAATAAATTTATGCAAACCGACACACCTGATGATGACCGTTTGAGTTATGGTCGAAACGTCGTGAGAATTTTTCATTGTTTTATATATATTTTGTTATTTTGTTGTTTCTCTTCAACGTGACTTTACCGAAAAAACTAAGAATATGAATAAGGGCAACTGTGTTGATGTGATGTTGGTCACATGATGTGCTTGTGTACTACGCAGGTCTTTTTGGTGCTTGCCTCGACATGTGTAATATTGGATGGGGGTAACGTCTGTGGTGTGGTGTTGTGTCCTCTTAGGGTAGTGGTGGCCAAGTGGTTCACGTACTGCACTATAACCTACATGGACCAGGCTTTGATCCCAGTCATGCAAATCAATAGCAGGTGCTATCAGAAGCTGTGCTGAGCATCCTGTAGGTCAAGCTAACCTAAAACGATTACCCAGGTACAGGGTGTAAATGTCAGCATTTGAGTGTCACATTCAGCCGGCCAAAGTGGCTGAGCAAGATGCCCTTCCAGTGACTGCAGTGACAGAGCGTGCTAACATTAGAAATCCACTGTTGTCTGGTCGAAAATGGTCCCGCTCTCGTAACTGATTCGCATAGATGTCAGCAGTTATCAGTGTCAGATACATTTCAATTGTGAGCTGTTGCTGTTGGTAGACCTAATGGGGCCAGGTTTATTTTAAAACTCTCTTATGTGCGTGTGAGCAGGGGGGCGCTGCTCATCCTGGTGAGCCCCACGCCATCTCCGTCCGCAAAAACGAAGCTGCCCTGGACAGGCCGACTTTACGTGCACTGTGACAACCAGCAGCAGGTAGGGGGCTGTGCAAGGAGCACACCTGAACTTAGCCTGCACGCAAATGTGTGTGTGTATATGTGTGAACAGGTTCACAGGTTTTACTGAGCATTTCTGTGGCGTTTTGGGGGAGGGGAAACCCCCTCAGCTCAAATATTATGATAGGGCAAGGTGGGGTTCACCTTACTGGTGCTGCTGTGCCCCAAATATTGGTGAAAGTCGCCACTCCTTCTGAGCGATTGGCTGATAATTCCTCTGTTGAGCAAGTGTGTAGGGTGGTCCTGAACTTGAAACCAGGTAAAGCTCCGGTGAGAGATGACCTCTCAACCAAACTGGTGAGGGGGAGGGTGGGGTTTGTGTGCAGACTATCCAATTTGACATCATTACAACTGTCTTGGTGCACAGGACGGGTTCCACAAGATTGGATGGATGCCCTGGTGGGCCCCATTTTTAAAAAGGGTGACCACACTGATTGCAACAACTACAAGAGTATCTCCCTCCTCGGTGTCCTGGGAGAGGTCCTTGCAAGAATAATTTAACATCGTTTTGCTAGATATGCTGAGGAGAAGCTTGCGGAGCCCGAATGTGGATTTAGACCAGAGCGGTTCTGCACTGACACCAATTTCTCTGTCTGTATGCTACAGCAGAGGTGTAGAGCATTTCAACAGAACCTACATCTTTGCTTTATTGACCTGGTCAAAGCTAGAGCTTTGGGTTATTCCCCATGCTTTTGGAGTCCCAGACCGTCTGCTTACAATCATTAAGGACCTTCATGATGATGGGCAGGCCCGGGTAAAATTGCGAGGCTGAGTGTCAGAACCATTTTCTGTTCACCTTTTGGTACGACAGGGATTTCCTCTGCCCCAACACTTTAAAATCGTCTTTGACCATGTAGTTCAAGACTCTCTTTCCAAGGATGTACCGGTGGAATTCCCATCTAATATAGATACAATGGGAGATTGATTGATACTCGGGTACAGTGAAGAGATGGCTACCTGGCTTGTCGCTCCATACAAAGCTCCGGGTCTTCTCGGTCACAGTTATGCCGTCCCTTCTCTTTGCTTGCAAAACGTGGGGCCCTAGAAAGAAACATCTGTGCCAGTTAGCAACGTCCGCGCGGCTAAAACACAGTTTGCACAATGGGGAGCACAGGTTGTGCATCTGCCAGTCATCTCAGTCAGCCAACCCATGGCATCAGGGTCTGTGCCTTGACCTGTCAGTGAGCCTTCGACATTCGACATGGCCTCAAAGTGCACCTGGCCTGACACAGGCGCCGTGGTGATGTCACCGTCACTTCGTGGGGAATGGCGGTTGTTGTTGCGCACACACAGATAGACACCAGTTAGTGCAGCGGTTAGCATGCTGTGCTACATAGCTGGCGACCTGGGTTCGATTCCCGCTCATGGTCACCATCAGAGACGATTATCTGAACTGGTCCTGAGCCTCCCCTCGGTCTACTCAGCCTCAAATGAGTACCTGGTGCGATGTGTAAACATCGCCACTATGTTGCGCGTGGTGCTGGCCACCTGTCCCACTCGTGTGCCGTGCCGGCCTGAATTGGTGCTCACTAACAGCACTTGCCCCAACGGTCTGTTAAGGCTATACGAGGGGTGTTTGTGTACAGCCCTTTCATAACTCTACTGCTGGATAAGGGGCTTCCTCATGCCGTGCAGATTGTGGCGGTTATTTGACCATACTTCGTCTTGCTTGTTATTGTGGGTTGGTGAAGGCAAGGAACATTGTTGCACTGTCCTCTGCTGACATGAGCCCCACAGCCTATAATACCTGTGTTGCATGGTGGTCACCCATCCAGGCACTACATGTTCAAACCCTGCTGAGCTCTCAACATTCTATGAGATCACATGCATTCTGGGTGGTTTGGTCATAAGCACAAGCAAATATACACACATGAATTAATGTAAAATGTCTGCAACATTTCAAAACGTCTTTACAATATATCCATCCATGCGCATTATCATCCGATACTGGAAAATCCGAGGTGGACTTTGGTTGCCTTTTCAATCTGAGACTGCGAGCAGCCATGCGTCTCATCACTCTCGCGTCACTCTCGCATCACTTGGGCGCCGTCCAGGCGGTGCGCGTGCAGATCCGAGAGGATCTGGTGCAGGCTGACGTGGTGTCACCGGACCCCGCGGTGGGACGCACGCTCGCCGTGCCACACGCCACGCCCGCCACACCTGCCATCCCACCCGCTATGCCGCCCGCCTTGCTCGCCACGCCGAGCATACAGACAAGACGATCCCTGTCCACGCCAGTGCTCGGCGGCGTGGAGGTGTTCAACAAGAGCGTGTACTTCCCAGCGACACGCGTCGGAGAAACGTCCAGTGAGTTCCATGTTTGTTCTGCCTGTCGTATTGTTCCGTAAATCGCCCAAACGTGAGTAGAGGAAGCGTGGTTTTCCAGAGCTCCTGTGGGTGGCAGAGCCTCCTCCATTGACTCACCCGTCTGCATTTTCTCCCCACCACTTTCGTGCGCTCTCTGTCCCACCAAGAAATGATTTATTTGGAAAACCCCCAGTCAGCATTCACGGGATGGTGACACAGCTCCAGTGGTAGCGCGTTCACCACTTGTTGCAGAGTTTCGCGGTTCAAATCCAGTAGGCCACCCTGGTTAACACTGCGTGTGTATTTATCGTAAATAAAATATACGCACCGTCTGCCTGAGAGTAAACATTAAAGATCCCGTGATGCCATTGTGTGCCTATGTTGTCATTAAATTTGTGAAATTTTCTGCAAATTCCTCCATTGGAATTACACAGAAAATCGCTTCCTACTGTGAAACGACTGCAGTCCGCGTCTGTGACACAGTAGTGTCTTTGTGATAGCCTTGCGTTATAATAATGGTGCGAATACCAAACGTACTATCTTCTTACTCAGTCTCGTCTGCTGCAGCAATTGTCTCAAATTGCATTCCCTCAGCCATCTGTGCTGTCGACTCCCAACCCCTGTTCAAGGCCAAGCTATAAAGACCTTTTTTCCCAAAGCCTACAACTGACTGCCTCTCTCTACAACATAAATATCTGTACAGCACAAATATATAGCTCTTAATAGGTGCTTGTAAACAATACTTGCCATCAAATAGATGTGTGATTCATAGCGGTGGTAGTTTTGATGACGTGCATGCGTGTGTGGGTGCACCGAATCTGTCGTTTGTCACAGAGGCTGCGCTGAAGTTCACCAACCGTGGCACTGACGAGGTGAAGTGGTACCTCACCTCCTTTGCTCCTCCATATGTCAAGGTGGGCAGCTGCTGTGCAGTCATCAGAAACACATCAGCTTTGTGTCTGTGTGTGTGTGATCAACAGTGATGATTTCTGGAAACGTTTAGGGACTGTGTAGGTGATTTACGTTTTAACATTAATCTGATGGCCTGGGATTGTGTTATCACTGATGAATTGTAGTAAAGTGAGTCTGGAAAGTTTTGCTGGTTCGAGGCCACCAATGGAGATGAGCATTGCTCAGCACCTATTTGACCCAAGGGGACAATGAACCAATAATTCTAACACTGTAAATTGTGAGAAGCTGATCAGACACAAAGGTGCGTGCAGGCTAGATGTGCATGTGTGTTATAATGCATGTAAAAGTTTTTTAATTGATCTTATCACGGTTATTGAACACATTCCCAAAGACCCAAACGCCAAGTGACCAACAGAAAATAACACAATTGAAGTTGTGATAGACAACGCTTAAAATGTAAACCCAGCTCCTCATCAAGGGTGGGAGGTATGAACGAGTGAAACTGCTATGCAGCAAGCAAGGGTGATTATGACCGTACGCTTGGTCCTTTTGTCGTACCTCGCACGTCATGCGACATCGCCGTCCGGCTGAGCCTGTTGTCTCGTCCCCCCCCGGTGGCAGGGAGTGGCTGGCACTGGTGATGTCTTCCGCGCCACCTACTCCACCTTCCGCTTCTCACGCATGGCCGGCACGCTGGAGGCCGCTGGCAAGGCCACGGTGAGTGCTCCCTGCCCCACCTCCGGCCAACAGCTACACTCGCACTGATGGCCGCCACTGCCTAGGTCAGCCTTTGACCAAATTACCCTTTTACTTGTGAACTAAATTCCTTTTAATTTGTGACTGCATTTATAAGACGCATAATGTGAACTTCAAAAAGGAAATTCAAGGTGCAGGGGAAATAACCAAGGAAAGACGAGAGTCTTCAGATTTTGACAGAGTACAACACGACGATGTAGAGAGGAGGGATTGCATTCCAGACAACTGGGACTGCAACAGAGAAGTGACGTTCACCTTGTCTGGTTCGAGAGTCAGGGTTAAACTAAACAAACTATTTTTTATTTTACCAGGTAAGGCCCACTGAGCTATATAGCTCTTTTTTCAGAAGTGACCTGGCCCCAAATGATAGCTCAAAAAGTGGCTTATTATGATGAAATTTATAGTAGCCAAATATTCTAAATGGATGTTGGTGCAAAATTTGGGGGGGAAACCGGAGGACCCAGAGAAAAATCCACTCGACCACAGGGAGAACCTGCAAACTCCAAATATACAGGTGTCAAGGTCAGAATTGAACCCACGACCTCCTTTATGCCAAGCGAGGTAGTTAACATCTCGCCACCTTGTCTTGATAAGGCGGAAGCCCCTGAACCAGATTGGAGGTTGCGAGGTGCAATGTACAATGAGACTGGAAGCTAAGTATGCCGGTTGACCCAACATGCGTGCTTTATAACCGAGAATGGCAACTTTGTACAGGATGTGTTGTTAAACTGATAACCAGCGAGCTTGATATCGAAGATCAGGGGAATGGATGGAGGAAGCACATCTGGTGCTAAGTGCTATGCAATTGGATTGAGCCTGGATAGCTCAGATGGGTGGCCACCATGCACCCCAGGTTCCTATTGGCAGCAATGGGGCTGTGCTATGTTGGCAGCAGGCAGGGCAGCAAACTCCGTTCTTGTACTGTGCTTCTATGCTACCACGCTCATGTTCTCCACTCCACCAACTCTCACTGACCAACCTGGTGAAGCATGGTCCAATAACTCCCATGACGCACAAGATGTGGAGAGGCCACATCTTCCAGCAGTGGATTGACAAAAAGGGATCTATATGTACTTGTTTACCCCAAGGTCTACCCAGCCTGAATCAAGCACCACATTGGTGGATATGTCTTAGTTAACTCAACCTGAAATAACAACTGTTGACAGCTGTTCTCAGATGAACTCATCCTGAACCAGCAACCTGTTAAAGACCTCTCCAAGGTAACTTGATTCTGAAATGTTCAAACACAGCAAAGTCCTCCCCCAGATTCGGTCTGAAATGGGACCTAATAAGAATATCCCCTGAATCAACTCGGCCTGAAATGAGAATCCAGGGAAGCCTCCCCCAGGTCCACACAGCTTGGAACTATTACCGCAAAACGAACCTCTCCTGGACTGCAGTGAGCACCAGCGTTCTGTGTTCGTGTTGCTGCGCAGGTGTGGGCTGAATTCATGCCTCGCGATGGTGGACGCTACGCCCAGTTCTGGGACCTGGAGTGTCACCCCGAAGGGCACACGCACCTACGAGACCACACACGTGTGCAGCTTTCGGCAGAGGTGCAGCACACGCATGCGTGTGTGTGGCGTGCGTGTGTGGCGGGGCACAGGTGGTGCATCGGCCAGTCATCTCAGTCAACCCATGGCACCTGGGTCTGCCCCGTGGGCACCCGAGTCTGCCCCGTGACCTCCTGCCAGCAGGCGTTCGACACTTCACGTGGCCTTAGCGTGCACATAGCCTGACACAAGCGCCGTGATGATGTCACCGCCACTTAGTGGCGAATGGCAGTTGTTGTCTGTTGACACAGGGATCCGAGTTCGTTTCTCAGCAATGCCTAACATCAGTGGCGAGCGATATCGGAGCCAATCCTGGCCCACGCTTCGGTCGTCTCAGCCTTAAATAAGTGCCTGGTGTGGCTTTGTGTGGTCGTGGCCACCGGCCCCCCTCATGTGCTGTGCCAGCATTCATAGGCGCTCCTTGCTAACAACACTTGCCCCAAAAGTCTGTTAAGGCTATACGAGGGTTATTTGTCTTGTACAGATGTGTCTGTTTGTGAGGAGCGATAGTGCAGCGGTTCGTGCGATGTACTACGAACCTGGGCCTCCCCTAGGTCGACTTGGCCTCAAATGAGGATCTGGTGCGGTATGGAAACATCGAGACCACCCGCTCCCTTGTGCGCCATACCAGCCTTCATAGGTGCTCTCTCACAGCACTTGCTCCAACACTTAAGGCTATACGGGATATATTTTTTTGTACGTAAAAAAAATGTACGAGGCTCCTTAAAAAGGAATAATTGTGATTAATAAATTTGTTATTCACATGTTATTGTGATACTGCATTGGCCGTGGTGCTTAAGCAGCACATGGCCCGTCTTCATAGCAGAGATGCTCTAAGAAGGGCCCATTTCCCAAAATGTTGCCAGTTGTGATTTTTTTCTTCCCCTTTCATGGCATTGTTTTTGATGGATATGCTGAGTTTTTGTTGAATTATTTATAGGGGTTAATTTATTCAAAGTTACAGCCCATCGAACGTGTGTCCACATGTGGAAACCCTGCAATGACACCGCGTCCACCATCAGAGTTAGTCCAAACAGCTGGCAAAACTGCGACAGAATATATTAACTCCAGAGAGGAGGGTTATGAAGGATTAACAGACCCAAGGTTTAGGAGCTTTTTGATGAAATGCAAATTTCAGCGTGGGGTTCGCCTGGTATTGAAGTCCTTGCCAACAGAGGGGTACCTGCTTCAAAGCCCCGCCGTGCTTTTAATTTTAAAAGTGTTGGCTTTTTATTTATTTTTATTTCCCTCTTTAAAAAAATCCCAATTTTTCAATTAAAGCCCCTTTGATGCTCCTGAATTTGAATGTGATGCGGGGAATTCTATTGGATTCTTACCCTTTATATTTGTCGTGGTTCCCTCCCTAGTGAGTGGGAGATGGCCGAAAACCGTAATTACATACTCGCAAGGCCAGCCGGGTGGCACTGTCGACAGAGTCGGAGTTGTGCTATCGCGGAGGGTGCGAGCACAACACCCAACTTGGGCTACGTGCAGCCACTACTGTGTGGGAAGTTAACAAAAATTGTCCTGTGGATAGAATGACCGCTTGTCAAAGACATGTGGAATGTCCACCACTGGATCTGGGTAGAGATGTTTGCCGCCCCGCACACTAGCTTGAGCATCAACGCTGAAGACCTTTGAGCGGTTTATTCATAAACGTGGGCTGAGTAGGCCCATTGCTTGATTCTCGCTGCAGCTTCCCGACCAATAGTGTGTATGTATGTTGGACTTCTTTCGCACCGTACGTCGCCAACTGTGCTTAATCAGAGATGCGGGAAGACAACAAAAATATCTGTGCTTTGTTACCAAAGCTTGCCTGCTGTTGTGAAGTGGACATTAAGGACCCTGTGACTTCATTCACCAGAGTAGGCCAATTTTTCTCTATATTTAAACACTGGGTAGTTCTCAACTGTTAGTGGCTCAAATTGAGACATTGGTGTTTTCCACATTGGTGGAAATTCCACATTCCCATGGAGAAGGCCAGTACATCCACAGGACAGCTGCCACTGTGTGACGGTGTCATCGTAATGATGACTCATTACACAATGCAGCAACATGTTGTTTAACCGGTGACGGTGCTGATGAGATTCAGGATGTTGGAATCGGCCCAGTATTTTCCTGTTACAAATCATTTGTCCTCAAGGCTATAATATTTTACTTAATGTTTATGTGGTAAAAAAGTTACTTTATTATTTTATGATGATGGATAATTGACACCTATGTTGGTGACCACTGACTGCACTGGCCAGTGGCATAGCTATGAAGTGTGCAGGCCCAAGTGCCCAGGGGCTGGGCTATGCCGACTACGATACACCACTGCCATTGACCAGCTACAGCAGTCCACCTCTAGTGTGCCCGCACCCCGGAGCGGGGGACTTAACGCTGGCACCTTGTCCATCGCAGGCGCTCGGGGAAACACTGGGCGGAGGCACCGACGCGGAGGCGGTTCCTGTGGGCCTTGTGAAGACGGCACCGGCACCGAGCCCACCGCGGGCGCGGAGTGGCACTGAGCTCCCCGCGCCAGCCCAACACGGCTGCCTGGCACACGAGGACGGGTACACCCGTAACCCGCACCCGCGTACACACGGCTCTCACGCGCACACGTCATCTTTAGCTGTGGGTTTGCTTGCACACTTTTTAGAATCCTTATTTTAAGCGCTACCCGTGCAGCGGACCGATGAGGTGTGGGACCCAACGTGCTCCTGCACAGACTTGGACTGTCTGTAGCAGACCGTCCACCGTGTTTTGGGCTAACGGTGTGCGTTGCTTCGTGGGATGTGTGGGCAGGAAGGGGAGTGCTGGTGCCACCGCTACCACCACCGCCGCTGGTGGGCTCTATGTGCCCCGGGAGTCATACTCCTTCCCCCAGACGGCGCTTGGCTCCTCCAGCACTGTCAAGGTGTCAATCCGGAACAAAACGTCGCAGCCACACACCGTGAGTGACCGTCCCAACTACCACCGCCACACGCAGTCCACACAGCACCCCCTTGAGCCCTCGGAACACTTGGCATGCAAACAAATAAAACGCACAATGTAACTTGTGATGTGCCAAACATCCTGGTGTAAAACATTACCTGCACATATTACTCAATTGGGATTACACGTTGGAACGTTGCCCCCCCCCCCCCTACTGTGACGACTTGGCAGGACCCTCCTGACAAAGGGTCTTGAGACTCGATCAGGCTCTCCTGGGGAACAAGCGGAGTAGCGGTGACAACAATAGCAATAAACAGAGCCACGTGCTGCTCGCTCAGCCCTCGCTTGCAGAAGAGAAGTCCAAGTGACGTCCATCTCAAAGGAGCGTTGAGGCGGTGCTCATCTCCCATTTACAGCTCTGAGCCATTGGTGGACATTACATATTCCTGTGGTGGGAGCGAGTCTATCCAAGTCCGAGTCAACCACCAACCAGGATTTTAGCTCGCAACTTGATTCCGAACCAGCTCTTCCATCTTGTTAAAGAGAATATTGAATCCCACTAAATTTCTCTTCTGTGGTTACATCGGAGATTGAATTGCATTTCCGACGTAAATGTCTCGGGGTGCGGGCCATAAAGATGAGACTTGCACTGTCTCCACACAGCACTGGAAGGCCCACAAGGAAATGCGAAGCTGGTAATGCATGGGATCACTGAGCGGCCTCTTCAGGTCCAATAATGTTTTTAAAGATGTTATCGCACTCATCTAATAATTGGAAGCAAAGTGACTCGCTGCTGCGCTCATTCGCTGATTTCATGGCCGCGTTTGGATGCATAAAGCAGCCCGTGTATACTGTGACATTACGGAGGTTACCTGCTGGGCTGTGTTGATGATTCCTAACAAAGGCGAAACCAGCACATGAACACGGCTGTAGGCATCGCCTCGCTGCAATTTTGTTATCTCAACTAGACAAAGCTTTTTGACCTTACAAAAAGCCGCCTGTTAACACTATTGTTGTTGGAACTATGCAATCTCTTCTGGACCTTATTCCCTGAGCATATGGAGTACATTTGACCATTGATTCGTCAATAGGAGTCATCTGCAGGATCCGATGGGAAACTTTGTTTAGCTGTGCCCGTGGGACAGGGATGTATGTGTGTGTTTTAAAGTCACCAGTCTATTGGTAAGGCTGTCCCACTTAGACCGCAGAATAACGCAATTCAAACTCAGGAGTGGTTTACTTGTGCCACTCCTCGACGGTATGTGTGGGATGCGTTTCCTTTTGCAAAGAGCTCCAGAATGTAAAATGCTTGGCTTTGTGACAAGATGCCACCGGCATTGTTGATTCTATACATTGGGGTTAAAAGTGCATTAACAGAAAAAACTATCAGCGGAGAATGATGACATTTCTTCTTGCACACGTTGCAAGACAAATCCCTCCAAAAAACCTTAAAGCCAAAACTAATTCCCGTCCCGTTTTCACGTCCGTCTTGTCGTTGCAGCTGAAGTTTGTGTGTGCGCGAGCTCCTTTCCACATTCAGCACTCGAACCACTTGATCCGGTAAGCAGGGAGCCCTTGCCATCACCCTGTATTGGGAACACCATCACACGCATACACGAGTACGCACGCACGCACACGCACGCATGCACACATGCACACAGACAAAGATCCCCCATATAACCTTAACAGATTGTTGGGGCAAGTGCTGTTATCAAGCACCAATGAAGGCCGGCACGGCACACAATGGAGTGGGTCTTGAGCACCACGCTGCCTTTCTCTTTCCTTTGGCGATGTTTGCTACACACTGCACCAAGTATTCAAATGAAGCTGAGTCCACCTCGGGGAGGCCCAGGACCGGTTCAGATAATTGTCACTGGTGTTGACCGTGAGCAGAAATCGAACACGGATAACTGGGTTCAAAACACAGCGTACTAACCACTACGCTACCACTCTCCGCATGCACGCATGTGTAGTGACATCAGGAATGTCACTGTATGGTGCTGGCCCGGAAGGGTCGTACCGTTAGATGTACCTACATCGTGGACAGCACCGTGTGGGTGGCTGTATGTAATACCAGCCCTAGCGGGGCTTGGCAAGCACTGGGATAGTGCGGGCACCACGCACAGTGGGTGGTGGGGGCTCCCTCGAGGGGTGTCAGCCCAGGCACAGGGTTGCCCCAGGCCGTGGCAGTCTGGTTGACCCCGTAGACACGTGATCCGGAATGTCCACATAGGGGGCCCCGGGTGGGGGGGACTAGTGAGAGAGCTCTTGAGAAGGATCGAGAGGGAACAAGAATGTTTAGGAAGGCGGGCGGGGCCGAGGGCGGAGTGGCCCCGACCGGAGAGGGATGTAAGGCAGGTTCCTGAGAGGGACTGGGGTCGCTGCATTCTACAAGCTGGAAGCTCTACATCTCAAGCTGAAGCTCTCCATCTTACGCAGCAACCACGTGGTCGGAGACCCGAGTGAGGGATCGATCCTTCATAGCAGTAACTCGCTGTAGTCTGGTAAAGGGGCAGTTACCACTTTGTGTTACGATGTTACAAATAAAAGTGTTGCCTCTAAAAGGAACAACGTCTGCGACTCAGTTGGACCCACTACAACTGGTGTCGGAAGTGGACACGCTAGTTACTCAACTAAGCTGTAGACTATGTTTACACTTCGTGGACCGAGTACCTGGACGTTGGACGACGAGGACAAGGCCTTCGTACAGCTTGCAGCTCTGGAGGATGCGGGGGAGACGCTGTCAGCGGAGCCGGGCGCCGTCCGGGCGCTCGATGCTTCGCCGTCGGCGACCCTCCGGGAGGCGCACGAGCGTCTCGCGGAGCTCCTCCACACGGCGACTTCGCTCTTGGCGGAGTTTAGCCTTGCGGTCTCGCCGGCGACGGGAGGAGCGGCAAGACCGCTCGTGAATGGCGACTCATTTCACTACGGGTGGGAAATGCGGTGGCGCAGCCCGCGCGATCGGCCGCCATTTTACCGCCTGCGTGGAGCGCGCAGCCTGCCAAACTTGAAGGCGCGCCGTCGGTGCCGAGGGACAGCCCGGCTCTCCAATGTCAGCTTCCCTTTGTCGAAGACTTCGTGGCTTTATCACGGCGATTGGAAAGATCCACCCCTACGCAGGCCTTCGATCAGCTGGCATCGATCTTCGGGCCTCCAACGGACGTGCGCCACAAAGTCGCCAAGTGCATCTGAGCCCAGCAACTTTTGCATCGGGACGGGGCGCTGGCGACTTGCGCTGTGTCCCGCACGGAGCCGGGGCCACCGCATATTGCGGGGCCTCTTTCGGAAGGCGCGTCGACTCGGAAGGGTGGCGAGCGGGGTGACGGTGGCACGCGGCGGACAGACAAGCGGGGCTGGTCGAGGTCGTCTTCTCGTTCCAGAGGAAGCCATGTTACCTGCTACAAGTGCGGCCTGTCAGGCCACATGGCTTCGGGCTGCCGCGTCCCACGTCGGCGCCTTCCGGCATCACCGCCATCCTGCTCTCCTTTACGATCTGAGGCGAGTCGTGACACACTCCACACTCGACCCCTGGCCTCACTTCACTCATCTAGGCAATTTGGTTCACGGCCCGATCGCGCGTCGGTAGGAGAAAGTCCTACACGTAATCGCGAGGTGCGTCAGCTCCGACCAGGTCAGTGGTCGGAGCTGGCCCATCGAGTTGTGGCTACGACCGAGGGTTCGTCTATGGTGCTTGGGTCTGTCGAGGGTGTGGAGATAAGGATGCTGATCGACACGGGTGCATCGGCAACTATCATTACGGTCCAGATTTTTTTACATTCTACCCCCTAAGTGTCAGGTTCTCGACCTTGTCGATGCGCTGTGTCGCTGTTGACGGTGGCTCGTTGGGTATCATTGGTCGAATCACGGCCGAGGTACGCATCGCCGATGTTAGCTTGTCGGGACACATTTTTGTTTGCACGTCCCTGACTGTTCCATGTTTACTTGGAACCGATTTCCTTGGCAGAATGCCATTGGAAATCTGCATTGACCGCGGCTGTTTGGAATCGCCATCCGGACGCCGTGTGGCATTTTTGCCTTCCCCTACCCGGTTGTGTGCGGCTAACGCTACGGTGCAGATGTCCGCGTGCCGAACGGGGGAAATCCCGCCCGGCGCACGAACGTCTGTTCCCCTTCGTTTGAGGGAGCCACTCGATTTGGGTACTGTGAGGTACCGAGCTATAGCTCGGACATTGGTGTCCGACGACCAGTAACCTTGTGTTCGGGTTCAAAATGCTGGGTTGGATACCACAGTTATTCAGGAAAGTACGGGGTTGGCTCATGCGGCTCCGGCACGTCCGGTAGGGGGCGTTGTCGGGAATGCGAGTGCGGAGCCTTGCACGCAACGATCCCGGGATGTGGTTAGTTGCTGTGCTGTCCGCCCCTCTCGCCTTGAACCGGTCATCGCGCCGCGTGAATTCATCTCATCTCCATATCGCTGGGGCCGAGTGTCGAGTGCGTCCGGCGACCCGGGGCGAGTGGCCGCTGCGGTTGCTCCCGGGCGCGGCGATTCTGTCCCGTCCCCGGCCGTGGTACACCTGGCGTCCCCTGAACGGTCGCGCATGCCAGTTTCATGGGCTTTGAGGGGGGTGGACCCGCCGGCCTGGCCTGCTGCTCTTCGTGAGGAGCCGGGTCCGGCGGAACATTGACATATTCCCTGCGGGTCCCCCAGTGGTAAGAGCCCGCCTCCCCTGTGGGGGGGGGGGGGGGGCCGGCATCACGGACCCGCTCAAAGACTCATACGCGATCCTCTTGCACACACGCTCCCGCGCTGTCGGTTGCTTGTCGCGCTCGCTGAGTCGCGGTGGTCATTGGTTGAACCTTGACGCCATTGAGCTCGCGTCCGTGGGAGGTCTGATAGTAATGGGACATCCTGTGGTTCACGCCGTTCTTTTGTATTGTTGTTAAGATGGTGTGGTTATTATGGGTTCGTTGGTTTCCATCCTTCTCCCTGTTGGTTTGTACATTTGTATATAGTGTCATTTTTGTACAGGTGGGTTGGGGTATTTATTTCTGTTCTTGTTATTGTTGAGGCACACTGTTTTTTTGCTCGTTGCATTTCACTTATTGTTCGTTGAGGTGGGTTGTCTTACGCAGCAACCACGAAGGCGGGGGGGGGGGTGATGTAGTGACATCAGGGATGTCACTGTATGGTGCCGGCCCGGAAGGGTCGTGCCATTCAATGTTCCTACATCGTGGACAGCACCGTGTGGGTGGCTGTGTGTAATACCAGCCCTATTGGGGCTTGGCGAGCACTGGGATAGTGCGGGCACCACGCACAGTGTGTGGTGGCAGCTCCCCCGAGGGGGAGGAGGTGAGTGTCAGCCCAGGGGCAGGGTTGCCCCGGGCCATGGCACTCTGGTTGACCCCGTAGACACGTGATCCGGAATGTCCACACAGGGGGCCCCAGGTGGGGGGACTAGTGGGTGATCACTGTCCGGAGAGAGCTCTTGTTAAGGATCGAGAGGGAACAAGAATGTTCAGGAAGGCGGGCGGGTCCGAGAGCGAAGCAGCCCCGACCGGAGAGGGATATCAGGCAGGTCCCTGAGAGGGACCGGGGTAGCTGAATTCTACAAGCTGGGAAGCTCTACGTCTCAAGCTGAAGCTCTCCGTCCTACGAGGCAACCACGTGGTCAGAGACCCGAGTGAGGGATCGACCCTTCGTAGCAGTAACTCGTTGTAGTCTGGTAATGGGGCAGTTTACCCCTTTGTGTTACGGTGTTACAAATAAAAGTGTTGCCTCTAAAAGGAACAACGTCTGCGACTCAGTTGGACCCACTACACGTGCACGCATGCACGCACACACGATTACACGCGTACACGAGCGCAGACATGCTTACGTACATGCACGCACACACACACATGCCTCCACCACTCCTCCTTCCACTCAGACCAGAATTTCAGCAATAATTTTTCTTTTTCCAGGAATAAAAGGAGGAGGACCCGGCAACCCGGGGGAGACTGTTGGCCTGGCCACGCTTGCGCCATCGCGAGTCCAAAGTCCCAACACAATCGCCCTCGATTACCCACAGCGCTACATCCGTAACGCTCTCATCTGGGTTCTATGACCATTAATTATTTTAAAATCTGAGTTCTTTGCACCAAAAGTGTGGGGCAGCGCGCTTATGTTTTGTTTACCGTCCACATTTAGAATCAGAACCTTTATTTATCATGGAGAAATCCGATAAGGAATGATGCTCTTTTTCACAAATGTAGGGGTGGGTCAGAAGGTTACAACAGCAAACAATGCAAAAAACAATAGGAGTCCATAGTTTAGGTGCGGTAAGCAAACCACTATAAATAAATACACTAAAACTACACTTTTTATTTTACCAAGTATTTATTTTTCGGAAGCGACCTCGCCACAAGTGATAATTCAACGAAGTAGCTTATCATGTCGAAATGTATTGGAGTCAAATACTCTAAATGCACGTTGATTCTAAATGTGGGGGGGAAAACCAGAGGACCTGGAGAAAAATTCACACGAACATGGGGAGAGAGACATGCAAACTCCAAATATACAGGCATCAGGGTCAGGGTCAAAACCACGACCTCCTGCATACCAGGCGAAGTAGTTAACATTTCGCCTCCGTGAAGGGAAAGTACTTTCACAGAACAACTTCTGTTGACTACCTACTGAATAGTAAAAAAAAATCCTTGATCTGGATTTCGACCTTAGTATTGTGAGCCGCACAATCTGACCACTCTGCCACCCAGCTGAATGTTAATGCAGGAAACTGAAACTGAAGATTGAATTTAACTAAACATCAGCCCGAGTGTTGGTGGTAGTGCACGTCTGTGAGTCCAGACACTTGGAGGCGATAGGGCAGCGACGTGTCTTGTGCAGCCTGTACTGCAAATATATTTTCTGACCTGTCCCCTGCTTTTAAAGCGTTACTCTGGACATCTTGATTTCCTTCCACAGTGACCATATTGTCCTGTCAATGTGTCTCAAATAGACTGCATCTGTGTGATCCACCAATTTTACCTCAAGTGCTCCTACTTTTGAAATACATTTTCATTTAAGGGGCTCATCAATTCAACTCAATCGTTTTCCTTTTCCATTACACACCAAAAAACAGGATGACTGCATTCAACTGAACATGACTTAATCTCAAGGAGGCCATGGAGTTTCTTGTAGTCATTTTATATATTTGTGCGTGTTTTTATGCGTGCAGTTCAGAACTTTAATTCAAAGCAACGCTATTTTTTTTGTTATAAAAACAATTAGCGGGCCGTGTTTTGTATGACAAGCTTCGTCCGCCACATGTTCGCGATTGTTCGCGACCGCCACATAGGGCTTTTTTTAGCCCACCGTCCCTGGCTTTGATTAGGAAGCAAACGTTGTTTCGCCAAAGCGAAAACGCACAGACGAGGGGCGTGCACAGGGCGGGTGACCACGCGGACGGACAGCCCGGTGAGCCGCTAGCGGTGGATGCGGCGGTGGCGTGTTGCGACGCAGCCTGGCGTGGCCATGCAGAGGAGCGGTCGTGGCTTCACTCAAAGATTAGTTTTATGAAGGCAGTTCAATCAGAATTAGTGATGCTGTAAAGTTATTTCATAACAAAACCGAGTCGGGGATGAACCTCCCTGTGAGAGCCTCTGAAGCAATTCCGTCAGAAATTGTGTCACCTTGAAGAACTCTGTGAAAGTTTTTAATTCATTCGTCTTGTCAGAGTAAGGACCTTTCACGAGTGGAGTTGTACAAATATGTCCCTCCTGGTGAGTGCCTCTTGTGAAGTCGATTCGGTCAGCAATGGTCGCACTGCATGACGTCGTGTATCACAGTGCAGTCAAAATGACCAGAAAACGTAGGTCCGTGAACAAAGACTGTTCATTGAGAAAATGACCACCCATTGACGGCCTTTGTCTGGACGCAAGTCAAAGTGATGTCCTGTGTGGACGGGCACTCGTCTCCTGTCTGTACCCCTGAATCAAAGTTGTAAATTCCACAGTCCTGTGACAGGGGGTGAGCGAGTCTATTCGCAGGACGTCCACTGTTGTATGGCAATTCCATATTTGATGTCCTGCAGGCTGTAATTGGTGACGGTCTGATGTGACAGCAACATAGGGGGGAAGGCTTCCTTGGCATCCTAATGCCTTCGTCACGTTCCCTTTCTTTCTCTCTCACCATGCCTCCTCTGTCTCTCTGCTGCCCACACCACTCCCTCAGGGCCCAGCACTACGTGAATCTACCGGTGCAGTTCAAGCCACTGGTGGCCGGGCCCAGCGAGGGGCTTCTGGTCATCGAGACGGCGCCAGGGAGCAGTCTGTCCGTACGCCTGCACGGGGAGGCCATAGCCGCCCCACAGTGATGGACAGGGAGGAGGATGGCGGGAGACGGTGCTTTCCTATCAGGCTATCGATGATCTCGCACACTCCAGCGCTCTTGTATACAAGCACGCGCACGTGTGTGTGCGCGCGTCCTTGTGCTCACAATCGTGCTTTCTTGTGTACTCTTGTGTACGGGTGTGTTTGTGCTCACAAGCACACGCTCTCGTGATGTACTTGCTCGTACACACGCACTCTCACGTGCTCATACGAATATGCGCGGTCATCGTGCACGCACGTAAACGGAGTTCATACACACGTACTTATTGCTTATACACGCACTGTGTGCGTTCATAGGTTATTCACAACAGAAAATGCACGTGTTCACGCACACGTTCACAAATTCATGCTCCTCTGAACACTCAGAAACATGCCGTCTCACACGCGCATTATTGTACACGCGCATACAAAAACAATGATGCGCGCCAGTTCACACTCATAATCGTAACGTTCCACGAATATCGCCGCACATTGTTGATGTAGGTTTTTATAAGAGGTGAATTTTGGTAACTCGTTTGTGACTCGCCCACACACGCTCGTGAGTGCACGCGTTTAGCCGCACACGCTCAACAACAGTGGCCGCCATTCGCCGCTAAGTGGCTGTCACCTCACCAAGGTGCTTGTGCCAGGCCAGGCGCACTCCAAGGTCACGTGAAGGGTCGCTGACAAGAGGTCACGGGACCCAGGTGCCATGGGTTGACTGACTGACATAACTGGCACATGCACTAGTTGTATCCCCTGCTCTGCCAACTTGCTGCGTTTTAGCCGCTTGGCGCTCCGCTCATTATTGTGAGCGTCGCTCCTTTGCCCTCCACTGTTGTTGGAGGGCAACTGCCTCGCATATTAGCATTCGCCAAGAAGCCTAAATTTAAGAAGACATTCACTCCCGTCCACAGCAGCAGCTGCCTTCATTTTTCTTAAGCGATTAACTGTTCCTCTTGTGTTTACATACAACACTACCATCACCCGGCGGACAAATTAATGGAAGCCTTTTTGAGATTGCTCGGTCTTGCTTCAATTGGGGGTATTAGGTAGGCTAGTCTGGTCCACAGCAAAATATTGTTTGTTGGTATCATGGGTTGGTTGTGGATAATTTCCAGCAATTGCTCATTTACAAGATTATCTTGTCATTAACATGTTCTGGGGCAGCGTGCCCTGTAACTAAGCTGAGGGGCCCATCGAGGTGAAATCCACGAAACAGACGCCGTGCCTACAAGGAGGACGGCAGGCTCAAACCACAATTCTGTTTCAACAAAAAACACAAGTGCTATTCTTGAGTGCATGCGTGCGTGCACATAAATGTGGGGAGCTGCGGCTGCTTTGCGCACTGCACTCTGCTCCCAGCATTCCCGCGTTCAATTCCTGGCCGTGGTGCTCACCGCCGCGTGACGGCTGGCCTCCCCCTCGGTAGCCTCAACCGATAACGAGTCGAGCGTGCCGTCAGCATCGGCGATGGAGAAACCGGCGACCGGGCATTTGTTTGCGCTGGCTCCACCACACGCCCATCCTTCATTGCCACGCCGGCCCTGATGCGCAACACGCTCACTCGCAGCGTTACCATGGCAGTCCATGGAGCTAAATTAGAGATGTTTGTGTTTAGGGGTTATGAATTCGTGTGGAAAGCTTTTATGTCGGGCTGTGTGCTCGTTATGCTAGTGTTAGACCAGGTTTAATGTTAGGATAACATTAGGGTTATAGTTACGTTTAAGGACACTAGCAGATGCAGTTGCGGAGATTGTGAAATCCACATCTGCCTGGATTACTACTGCAAGAGTGTTTCCCAGTGTTTATGAACAAAAACACTGGGGCATATCTTGGGAAAAGATTAAAATTGAAAGAGGGTAGAAACTACTTACATGTCTAGTCTTGAGTGGTGTGTTAGAATGCAACCGATAAAAACCGCCACTTAATTTCTTCTAACGGAGGGCATCGTGAGTCACCCAGCACAGGTGGCAACAGCCCTACTCCCACATGCGGTGGCGGAGAGGGGACGCGCGTGTCCGGGACGTGCTGCTGCTGAGGGCTCCGCGGGAAGCCGGTGGAGCTGGACGGGGTCGTGGCGGTGCCCTCAGGAGGTTGCGGGACAAAAACGAAAGCCGCGTGTAATGGGCAACGGTGGCGCGATTGGTGGCACGGCAGCAGCTTGTGATGTGACGCGGAGGGAGAGGTTTGCGAGCTGTGCGCGCGTTTTGCCAAATGCCATTTCAAACTGTTCAACACGCTAACCAGGCCCTCGTTACAGTCTACAGTTGTATGTACCCAGGAGACTGTTACGAACTCAGTCTGGGCCTTATTAATTGTAAAAACAATGCAGCAAATATATAAAATATACTAAAAACAAATTGCTTAAATATTTGGCTACACGACGTGCACTGTGCGTATGTCTCTGGTGTGTTTCACGTGCAGTGGTCTTCCTGTCTCACGTGAAGTGAGACCGGAACAATGTAGTGCCGCCACCACGGCGACCCATGCATGTTTGGAGTTGAGGTCATTATTTGCATTAGCCAACACTGGAATTCAGAGGCTGACCCAATGTAGAGAGATCTTGGTGATCCCAATGAGGTGACCTCAATGTAGAGAGCTCTTGGTGATCCCAATGAGGTGACCTCTATGTAGAGAGCTCTTGGTGATCCCAACGAGGTGACCTCAATGTAGAGAGCTCTTGGACTGGCGTTGGCCATACCGGGCGAGATGTGGTCGAGTCGCTGAGAACATGCACTACAAACGCGTTTATTGACGCTTAATCCCAAAACAAGATGCATCGTGATCGATACTTCCTACTGGAGCTGGATTCGTCTTTTTCATTCTTTTAGATTGAAACCACTCCTTCGCAGTGTGTGGTGGTACTCCCCCAGTCGGCACATGAGAGGTTGTGAATTCTTACCCAAGTCGGGGATTATCAGAATGAACAGCCACAGGTCAATAAAGTTATCCCGAGGAGAGTCTGACCCGCGCCATAGGCGTATGTGGACGACACCGCTGGTTCGGAGCCTGCCCTGGATGGTGCGGCATGTGATGCATTCAGTAGATTCCTGTCAAGCAGTGTTCGTTATATCGCTATGGATTGGACTAACAAGAACCAGGCCAACCCATCTTTATATTTGTTGTGGGGAATTTATTTTTGTACCTTTTTTTAACCCGGATTTGTGAGCATCCCGTGAAGCCCATAGACCAGCGTCTGGTGGGCTTATGCTGCATTATTATTAACCGAAGCACGTGTGTGAGTTTTTAAAAATATTGTTTCTCTCTGGACCGCGCCCAGATTCGGCAGCTTCCCGTGGTCACCGATGACCGCGACTTCAGTTGATGCATCTCGCTCCTCAATGGGTCTAGAGCATTAGGCTGTTCTTCCAAATGAATACATTCCAATCAAAATGTGGCCTTGGGATTTCCTATGGGCATTTCCTAGGTTTATCTGGAGATAACGTTTACTCACATCGTTATTCCTGGAAAATAATCTGGCATCGTACGTGTAGAGCACGGTCCACACGTAGCAATGTGTACAGAGCAATGAATGTCTCTTCATGGACTTGCCGTTTCCGCTTCCGGACGCGGCAGTTCAAACAACGGTGCCAGCTTCTCAACTCCCCCACCTCTGCACCCAGCAGCATAATCGAGCACGGTCGATCAGACAGTCGCATGTGGTGGGGTAAAGTGTGAGTGCTCAACTCTTCGTGGACGTGTCGGCAGCGTGGAAGTGTAGGCCACGTGCCCTCTGGAGAGTTCGCTAGAGCTCGAGTAGAGGCCCTTCTGCCAGCAGGTTACATGTGCAAGTATTTGCACATGTGCAAGTATTAGCTTTGCTCTTTACAAGTTGCGACATGTTGGCCGGGCGTCTGTCATTGTCATCGCAATACATGGCCACCGCCCATTCGTCACCCTGTTCAGTCTTCGTGTCAGTGGTGGTGCATGGCTCCGGTGTCTAGGTAATGCACATTCGATGTGTAATAATAAACTAGTACTGGACTCGCCATAACTGCCCCCATGGAAGCTGCAGGAACGAATGGACTATGACAGTGGATTGCACTGATTATTCAATGGGACCACCTGCACGAGTCGCCAGAAACTAATCATCTGGGCTGGAGTTTGTTACCTCATCAAACTGGAGCCAAGAGCTGCCAGCGGCATCACATTGCGTAAAACGCCTCGAGCGCGCTCGCGTTCCCTTGTCCATTGCGTTGATTGAGAATGGGAATGTTCACTCCGGACGGGATGATTCTCATCTCGACGGTTTGCGTGTTTTTGTTGTAATTTTCATATTTTTTAAAAAATTATAACTTCGTCTCCGTTCCCGCCAGTGGAGGGAAACGGCCGATCGTCGGGATGAGAACGGCATCCTTGGTGTTTGATGCAAACAGGCAAAAGGGCCATGTGGATCTCTCCCCCCCCCCCCCCCAAACCTCCCCATGCCCATTTGGGCTGCCAACTTCGCTTGTCCGCCGACTTCCCGCTTTGGCATTAATTTGCAGACTGCATTAGTGCGTTGATGAAAAGTGCCGCGAGCAGGCGGTGATTGTGTGTGTGGCTGGGCGGGAGTTGAGAGGGCTGCGTTTGCAAATTGCTGCTGCTCACGTAGGCATCTGCGGTCCAGGCTCAGCAGGCTACTAAGTGACCCCCCCCCCCGCCTGTGCTTTGTTGTTTAACTTTGAAACCCCCCCCCCAGCTGCTCACCCGCTCGCGGTGGACAGAGCCCCCGGCCATAGATGTTTCACCGCGGTTGAATCGCTCCCACACCGCTCGTGTGCCGAGTGGCCTCCGCCGCGTAATTGGCGTCTGCGGAAGCACAACCACTCGCTGGGAAGTGACTAGTCAAGATTGTTTGGTATATTCAGAACAGACTGAGCCCCAGCACGGGAATATGGAATATCTCTCAGTTGGTTGCGACCAACAGTGGAGATGAGCACTCCCTCGTTGTTGGAGCATGGGGAACACCGATTGCATTCCACTGTGGACAGCACCCCCAAGTCTGTTGTTGTCTTTGTCGAGCTGGACAGCACTGAGCAGCTGTCTCGTAATCAAATCATCATCATCGTCCTCGCCAGCATCGTCTTCATGCAGTGTTTGTTAACTTCAGCATAAATGGCAGCAGTGTGAAATTGTATCTTCAGCGTGTGCTGCCCTGCACTTTATTTTGTTGGCCAATTAATAAAACATGAATAAAACAAATGTATTTATAACTGGTGAGAGGTGCATTATTACTCTCGCAAGGGCGGCATGCGTACAACTTTTACGAACGCTGGACATATATAGTGAGTGCACTTGAGACATGTGTGCGTTTCGTCTGGAAAGTCTCATCATTGGGAATGAGGTGGAAGTGTGCAAAGGTTCATTTGACGGAATTCCACTCTTAAAATGAACCGTGAGCGGTGGGAGCCGTGGCTCGGTGATTAACATTGGCACTGCGCTGCGATCTCAGCAATACTGGTTGACATTCCTGGCCGTGGCGCACGCCAAGCAGGTCTGGTGCATGACATTGGCATGGACTGCCTCTCGGCCCACTCGGCCTAACATGAGTACGTGGCGTGGCGGTCAGAGACGCTCAGGCATGCGTGGTGGTGGCCCCACCATGGTGTGTTGTTTCAGCCCTAAAAGGGAATCGCTAACAGCACGTGTACCAACAATCTGCAGGCTATAAGCAGATCTGCGTGTGCTTGGTGTTTGTATGAGCGTGGGTAGCGGTAGTGCAACGGCTAGCGCTCTGCGCTACGAACCCGGCGATCCAAATTCGAGTCCTGCTAACGGCCAACACCAGTGACGATTTTTTGAGTGGTCCTAGACTTGGTGCAGTGTGTAAACATCGCCACTAGGGAGACAGGCGACCGGGGGTGGTGCTGGCCACCCACCCCCTCGTGTGCCGTGCCGGCCTTCATAGGTGCTCGCTAACATCACTTTCTCCTACAGTATAGCGGGATCTTTGTCTATATTGGGAGCTGTTGCGTAGTGGTTAACGCACTGTGCTACGAACGCGGCCATCTGAATAAAATTTCCAGCCATGGCTGACATCAACAGAGTAATAACTTACCCGATCATAGACCTCCCATGGGTCGACTCAGACATAGATGAGTACGGGCATGTGCTGTGTAAACATCAGCATTATGTGCGACTTAAGACGATCGGGAATGGTGCAGACCACACTTCCCCACACTACACCTGTGCCAGACTTAATAGGTGCTCGCTAACGGCACGCACTTGCCCCTATTGGGGCAAGTGTTTATCTCCATGTATGTGTGAGAGAGTTTGAACGTGTGCATCTATGCATGTCTGCAGGTGCTGCACTTGCCCGAGCAGACTGCGGGGGGGGGGGGGGCTCGCTGTTTATCTGCGTGCGGAGAGACGCGGCGAGACGCGGCTTGGCGTCTGTGAGGGCTGGGGGGGGGGGAGCGCCAGGGTCGCGCTGACCGAAGCCGCGAACGGCGCTATCTGCGTGTGCCAACTCGCGCCACCCACGGCCTGCAAAGTACCCCCACTGCAAGCGATTGTATTCACGCTACCTCGTGCTCTTGGTGGGAAATGTGGGATATAAATGTGTGTATACGAGGGCAGAGTGACATGTGCCTTTATTCATCAGATGATAAGTTCAAACATCCCATCCAGTGTCACCTTGGTGAATTTTTCCTTCCGTTATGAAAATTTTGCCGGAATTTATTATTTTCAGCCAACGACAATTGTGTTCATTGACAAGACTTTACCCAGCCATTGTCATGCAAAATTTCCATCCATCGATCAGGACATACGCCAGGGCGAAGCGCTCGTCTGATCTCGAGTTCGCGGTTCCAAGCTTTTCATGATCATTTTTATTTTACCAGGTAAAGTCCACTGAGCTTTTTGCTTTTTTCAGGAAAGACCTGGCCACAAATGATAGCTCAACAGAGTGGCTTATCACGTGGAAATGTATCGCAGACAAATCCTGTAAACGCATGATGTTGATTCTAAATGTGGAGGGGAAAACCGGAGGACCCGGAGAAAAATCCACGCGACCACGGGGAGGACACGGAAACTCCAAATATTACAGCAAAAAGCGTCGGGATCGAGGCCACGACCTCCTGCTTCCCAGGCGAGGTCGTTAACATCTCGCCACCGCTGTGCCCAGCGCAATCGCTGCTGGCTGAACACCAAGTGGCGCAGCCTTTACGATACGGTACCGCAGATTTGCGGTGGGCAACAGAGGTCCGTGCAGCAGAGAAATCCGTTTGTGTTGCTCTCTTCCCGTGAGCTCCCGCGTCCACGTTCGCCACCTTCACCAAGCTGCACGAACAAGGATGGTGAAGTATGGTTAAATAACCCCCACGGTGTAAGAAGGTCCTGATCCAGCAGCGGATTGAACAAAAATGGCAAAAAAAACGAAAAGACGAAGATCCCCCGTATAGCCTGAATATACTTCTGAGGCAAGTGCTGTTCGCGAGCACATTTAAAGACAAATACGACGGACAAGGTGGCCAGCACTTAGCTCGCACCACGCCCGACTGCCTTTGTCTCCCCAGTGGCGATTTTTTTACACTGCACCAAGCACACATTTTTTCACACAGCGTTGGTGTACGGTGTTTTTTCAGGAATATTTTGCTGTTTTTTTCCTGGATTTTATGTTTGCACAGTCACATAGTCACTTTAAGATGTTTTCTTGTTCGTGTTTTTGTTTGTTGCGGTTGCACCCGATTCAAGAGCCGAATGGCTCACAGGGCTATACCAAATAAATTAAACTGAAAAAAACACTCATTTGAGGCCGAGTCGACCTAGAGGAGGCCCAGGACCGGTTCAGATAATCGTCACCGGTGTTGGTGGGCGGGAATCGAACTCGGGTGGATGGGTTCGTAGCGCGGCGCGCTAACTGCTGCACTACCGCTCCCCACAAAAAGGGCCAAACAGAGACACGTGACGGGGAGTGAAGCATTGTGCCGCGTGTGCGGTGTGCCCGGATGCTGGTTTATGTTTCCTAAGCATTTGTAATGCAGAGAAGAATCGCAACAATCGCATTGCATCGGACTGCTCGCCAGTGGCGGGTATCGACCACCTCATAGCCCAGGGGTCGAAAAGCAAAACACAAGAAGAGTCTTTTCTTTTTTTACTAAATTCGGTACAAAAAAACCCCTCAATCTTTTAAGAGCCGCAATCCACGTGGTGAATACGAGACGGTGGTCCTTCATTTTTTTTAAACATCACGAAGCAGTCCTTGAAAAGCAGGCTGTGGCTCTGGAGCCGCAGGCTGCCGATCCCTGCCGACCCCTGTCCTAGCCGACCCCTGCCGACCCCTGTCCTAGCCGACCCCTGCCGACACCTGTCCTAGCTGACCCCTGCCGACCCCTGTCCTAGCCGACCCCTGCCGACCCCTGTCCTAGCTGACCCCTGCCGACCCCTGCCGACCCCTGTCGACCCCTGTCCTAGCTGACCCCTGCCGACCCCTGTCCTAGCCGACCCCTGCCGACCCCTGTCCTAGCCGACCCCTGCGGACCCTGTCCTAGCCGACCCCTGCCGACCCCTGTCCTAGCCGACCCCTGCCGACACCTGTCGACCCCTGTCCTAACTGACCCCTGCCGACCCCTGTCCTAGCCGGACCGTCCACATGGCGGCACGTGGACGAGGCACGCAGAGCGCTCGGATGCCGCGGTCAAACAGCGATCCCAAAGTCTCATGAGCTGATGACATTTTTGTTTGTTGTTGTTCAGAAATAAAAGCCAATGTTCCGTACGAAGGGTGCTCATTTTGTGCCCGTGTCAGAGCACTGGGCCCAACCACCACTGAAATATCCAGGGTTTGTATATTATGGTTCCCAATTCACACGTTAAACCGTGTGATCGAGAGTCGTGAGTTGCTCTCGCGAGGAACGTACAGGAACCGTGACGCTTTCCGATTTCAACCAAAATCCGGCGATAGAAGGCGATCGGTGGCACCTCACGTGGCCTCCCGTTGCCTCTCTCAGGCGCAGCCAAAGAGGAATTAGCCCTCGACCATCCCGACCCCAGGTTCCTCCACACGCCACGAGTTGCTGCCTTGCTGCTGCTGTTTCTTGTGTTCGCCGTGGCAATCGTCCACCCTTCTCGACGTCACTCAGCTTTTGGAGGTCATACTTCCCCATTGGACGACCCGTATCAGGCGCCATCATAAGCCGACATCGCTTTCACAATAAAATTACAAGGTAGGTTTTCAGAATACTGTACAGCCACAGGTTACTGCTACTGCTCTTCGGTTCTTTCGGTAAAGTTACGTAGAAATAAATAAAATAATAGAATACGACGTTTCGATTGCAACACAAGCAACCATCATCGGGTACAAATGAATGAGAAAACAAACATAGTAAACTTGGAAATATAATGCAATACAACACAGAGTCGGCCAACACAGCAGTCAACACCCCACCTGGTTGAACGTAATCAACCAGGCTATGTGTTACCGTGCTTGTGTATGGGTCCATTCTCTCCTCCGGCCGCTATGGGCAGGAATTCCACACAACCCTCCGTGTTTGTTTGTTTAGAAGTCCAGCGTCCAGCTCGTCCGTCCCCTATGGGCAGGAATTCCATACAACTCCCCCTCTGCCTCCCACCCTCTCTCTCTGTTTAAGGCCTCGACACAGAGACGTCTTTCTGTGTGTCTCTCTCTGTTTGTCTCTATGTGTGTGTCTCTCTCTGCTTGTGTGTCTGTCTGTGTGTCTCCGTGTCTATGTTTTGTCTCTCTCTTAAATTCAGCAATCTTTGGAAGAATGTAATCAACCAGGTGGGGTGTTGACTGCTGTGTTGGCCGACTCTCTGTGTTGTATTGCATCATATTTCCAAGTTTACTATGTTTGTTTTCTCATTCATTTGTACCTGATGATTGTTGCTTGTGTAGCAATCAAAACGTCGTATTTTATTATTATTTAATTTATTTCTCCATGACTTTACCGAAAGAACCGAAGAGGAATTCCTGCATTCACGAAAGCTTGGAATCTAGTTTACTGCTACTGGTTGACTTCTGGGGAACATCAATATCAAGAGGTGATAAGCAACAGTGTGAAATCAGAAATCAACAGCTGGAATGCCGGTTCAGGAATAACCCAACCATTGGATGTTTACTTCTTCCGCACGTCGAAATAATTTGTCCGGAAAGTGTCAAATTGTGTTCTTTTGGATTCTCTGGATGTCAGTGTCTTCTAATCTAACGGATGGATAATATCTTGAATCTCCAGTCCCTGACACAACACAAATCG